CAACCTGGTAGAAAGTATTTATGTTACGTTAATATAAATGTTTAATAAAATTATTGTGGGTATTGTAAAGTGGATGTTCTATTGTGGTATTGTCAAACTAAACACGACCTACGTTGCGAGGGTATTTCACAAAACGAACCGTAAAGAGGGTAATAAAACCGGTTAATTTGTCACCTACAAAGTCCATTGTATAAACAGACGCAATAAAATCCAAATTACGTTAATGTGCGACAAAGGAAACCATAAACTGGGCGTGTCGATTTTGTTCCATGTCCGCGGGTGGAACTACTGGGACATGAAGTTTTACTATACGTAGCCACTTTAGTATCCTACTCATATTATAAACACATTCTAAAGTTTGAGTGTATAGATGGACCAATGTTTGTTACTTCATCACACAAAGAATACTTAACGAATATATAGATCATATTCTATACTGGCTGTACCCGCGAATACGTCCGCATGGAATTTATCTTTAATTTACTAAAATAAATGAATTTTTCTAAAATAAAAGTAGCCTAAGTTACGCCTTATTACATCAGCTACCTGCCATAAAAATTTTCGTCAAAATCGGTCCAGCCATTTCAGAGATCAGCCGGAACAAACAGACACTCCAATTTTATTTATATGTATAGATGTATAGATTAATGGATATGATATTTTTTATTGCAGTGCAAAAGAAGACAGAATTCTCTACATAATAACGAGTGTCGGCAACTAGTAATTTTAGAGTAGTAAATTCATGTTATCAAATGATATAATTTACCGTGTTGAGTATGAATACAATGTATACCCACTACTTTTTATTAGTGTCTTTTAGAGATAACTAATCTAATAAAGCACAATATAGCAAATACGTGTAAGAGAGGGACACTGAAATAAAACCACATAATAAGACGCCTGGCCAACGTGGTAATGGTAGGCTAAATTGTTCCCTTACGAGGAGAGATCGCTACCCAGAATGTTGAGACATCCTAGTGAGTGAATCTTTAATGGTAATGTACATTACATTCCATTATTCGTTATCTTACTCGTTCACTTTTACTGATTGTAAAATACTATGGTGTCCTTTCTCATAATGACCTCAAAGTTTTCATAATATCTTCAAACCGTTAATTTTGTAGACAATTGGATACGGTATCAATAGATCAGCCAGTCAGGACCAACTCATTATAAAAAGAGAAGGCTCTTTAATATATTATTTTCTTTTTATATCTCCAATGGCAATCAAAATTACAGATCGCCTGATGGTAATTGATAACCATATCGTATATATTTATATGAAAAACACTACGGACATTCATTAAATTATACACGTATTGGTAAATGTTAAAGAAATGTCTCTTGTGATAATATTACCATTCGTTTGAGGAGGACTAAGCGGACTGGTTAGAAATCTCAAGGGGAATCAAACAGGGTTGTGTTGTGTTACCGTGACTGATAAATTTATTAATGGACGCTTGTTTGGAAAATTTTAGTTCGAACCGAGGGGACCGTGTTTGCTATAAATGGATACGTAAAAAAACGTTAAAGTTTGCAACTTTTTAAAAATTATGGCTCTCTTATTTAATTTATGTTGTCGTCATGTAGCATAAACTAGCGCCAAATTCTACCGAGTCTGCCTTCATTATAAATTTATCAAGTTTAGAATAATGTAGCTAATGTACCAAAGTTTTGAACACGCACACGTTCTCGAAATAAACTACTAACCATTTTTTGATATTCTGATAAAAAACTTAACGCTCTTTCTGTTCTAAGATCTATCTATGTACTTACTTTAAATATTTGTGTTCAGTAAGATGTAATATCAAGTGAAACTGTAAGAAAATAAGATGACTTAGCTGTGTTTTCGCCAAATCTAAACGTATTTGTAGAATTAATTTTGTCTATTTTCGAGGGTGTTATTCCTCTGTAACCTCGATGAACCGGTATGTAAATATCCACTACATGCGGGAACTTAAAACCTAACTGACCTACAAAGCGTCCTTCCACAAACTTATATAGTCTGACTGAGCGGCAACAAATACCCATTAATACCGATATCCACTGACCTGCAATGGAATCCAGAGCACTGTTAAAGAACAATATGCATATTGGGTCCAGGCATAAAGAGATGTCCGGATGGCAGGAAAACGGAGACAGTCTCTTGTGGAATATAACTAACGCATACAACATTCGCAACATAGTTTGTATTGTAGTAAATACAGACGGTATCTTCATTTAAGAGTAATTTTCCACATTTTTTTTATAAAGCTCGTGGGTATAAATAATTATTTATTTAAAGAAATCGGAGCACAAAATAGTCTATTGTTATGATATTTCATTAATAACGACAAAAGACGACGCGCGTTTATTCTATATATATATATATATATATATATATAATATATATATATATATATATATTCTATAGTTCTTTTTTATTAAAAAAATATTCGCTTTATTAGCGGCCAGTTATAAATTTAGGAACTCTAGTCCGACCTATCTGGACCGGAATTTATCCAATGGTAGGTGATCTGAAGGCTACCAGTCAAGTTAATTACAATTATGGAGAAGATAAATTAAAATTAAAACAGCCTTATCAACCCTGTCATTTCACTGCGATGTTTCTCCCTTTAAATAGAAACTTTACAAAGTAAGCTCGACGGCACAAATAGGTGATGTACCTACGCAAGAGACTTTGAACAAAATTTACCTCGGTAAATGAAATAAGAGAAGTAAATTAATTGGCAACGTAATTACTAGATTATTAAACCTAAATGAAATACACCACAACAAAGCAACTTAAAATAAATTCAGCACCAACAAGCAAATGCAAATTGTAACCAGCGGTAAGCGTTATGTTAACATTGTGGTTGCTTTAGAGACGTGTTGTTAATTAACATTATTTGTAGTTATGTCGTGATGTATTTTTTACTCACTATAGGTATAATGCTAAATTTAAAAAACAATGCTTTTATGATATTTTTAAAAGTATTTTTATTTAATATTCTTATTACTAATTAAAAATACTTGTTCCTTTTCAAAGGAAATTGATTTATTTCACATTTCTTTGATTAAAAATACATTTCTAACGATACAAAACACTGTTTATACTAATCTTCAGTGAGTGTTGATGTGTATTTGTACCGTTTAAACACTCACGGACTTCCCGTGGAAAGAATGTGGCTTTTATATCGTGATTCATTAGTTTCTATTAGTTATTTACCTGTTTATTGTAATAAGTTAATACATTGTTTTTGCGTAGGCTTTTACTTGATTGACTTCTATTATCCTGTATGTGACTTTATGAATATTATGTTCCGTTACTCGATTGCCGATCAAGTAAGCTCGTCAACTTTATTCGCCTATTTACAAAGAAATACGAATTATTTTACATGTAAAAGTAATTAATATTTTGTAGCTGATTAAAAATCTCTTCCTAAAAGATTATCGTGCGAAATCCTCCTTATTGATTTATATTTTTCGTGGAATGTGGATTTAAAATTAAACTTTACTAACATCTTCGTAATGATATGTAATGAACATTATTTTTTATGTTATTAGAATGGCTAACAAACTAACGGTCCACTTGTTGGTAAGCTGTAACCGTCGCTTATACACATGAACAGCACTATGGATGTTATAGTGAAAAGTATCGGCATTTAAACTGTATTCCTTATATTTATATATATCTCTGTAATATTATCATTAAGTTTTCAATAAAAGACGGATCTGGCGTTACCTCTCCTTCTTGAAATCACGCTAACATGTGACACGCGCGATACCACCCATACCTGTTTTTCAGTATTTACGGTGATACCTTTTTGTTCGTATTTTCACCACTTTGCATTAAAATCGTCTCAAGTCCATTTTTTCGGCTTATATTGCAAAGTTGTAGAATTGTAATAAAGATTGTCCATTATTGTTACTGTAATTGGATTCGTGTTTTCTTGTAACTAATAAGAGAAATATCTCGGAGGTTTTGTTATAGACCTTATTATACCTACACGTGCTCCTTTTTAGTACACGCAGACATAACATATTTTTTTATCATTACGATTGAGATGTTCATAAAGTTGCCTCAAGGCAAATGTTTTACCAAGAAACTTGTACGATATTTCACATCGTATAATATGTTATGGCTTATTAACCATTATTATCTATTTTCAGTTACTAGGACATTATAATAATACGTGTATTATTTCAAATTATCTAGCAATCACTATCATATTAATATTATTTAAAGCAAAAACTTGGACGTATAAAAACTTGGAACAAATAATGTTTATAATGAGAAAAAGAAGTGCACAGAAAGTTAATATTTTTTATAATAATGCTTAAAAGGTATATTAAACAATATATATATATATACTACCATATGTTTTATATACACATGCAATTCAGTCGAAATCAACCGATATAGAAATTTGGCAGGTAAGTAATATCGCTGCCTAATATCTAATCAGATGTCGCTTCAGTACGTAAGAACCTTAAAGACGTCCAAACTTAGTATTTAAATGAATATTGGCCGAATTTCGACCACCGATATCTACAAAACAAAAGACATCTATTTCAGTGTTACACAGGAAATAGATTTTTGGTTTATTAAAAATGGCTTCTACATTGACGGAGAATTAGATTAATAAAGGCAAAAAATACTCAAATTTCATGTCGGTTAAAACCGAAGAATTTTGTATAAATGATTCGCTTATAAATGCTATCGTTAATTGACCCTAATATGAACAAATTGTGCATTCTCGAATGCGAAGACATAAAGCTAACAAAATTGGAGTTCTTCAGTTGTCATATTATTATAAGTGTTAATTTATGGACTCTAGACTCCAGATTTAGTCACGACACAACATGAAATGAAATGAAATGAAAAGATATTTATTCAGTAGAATAAAAAAACTAAAACACACATTAAACAAACAAAAAAAAAAGTAACAAACAGTGCGACAATTACAAAAAAAAAGTACATATGTCAGTACGACTGATCATATCTTTTTTTGTTATAGGTCAGTGGTAGAGGCTACAGATGTACAGCTGAACATGCGTGTGGGAATACACACCGGGCGGGTGTTGTGTGGTGTACTAGGGCTCCGGAAATGGCAGTACGACGTGTGGTCAAATGACGTCACGCTCGCTAACAACATGGAGGCTGGTGGGGAACCGGGGTAAGCATGGAAATCTTTGGAGAATTCAATATTTATATTTAAGGAGGTGGTTCGGGCATAGTACGATACGTACATGCATAGTTTGTATACGCTAAAGAAAAGAGTGTTCTATGTATACAAAATATTTATTATGGCGATATCCATTTAGGTGTGTTTAAGGTACGACAGCTTTTTTTTGCCAATATAAGGAATATAAAAATTATACAATGCAGGTATGTATATTTTTTAATTTACTTAATTCGAAATGTTTGTTAGCAATAATGGATAAATTTAAAATCTACCATATATTCCATATATTCTACATCTATTACTATGTTAAAAGTATTATTCTATTATATTTGTGATTTTTTTTCAATATACAATTATGGCAAGATGGCTTTTAATAATTTTGGCAGAACACATGACGATTGGTACATTAAGTGTCACTATAATTCGCAATACAGATCATGATGTAGAAAGCCTGTTTATCTCAGATACTTCATTTTATAATAGTTCTATCAGAGCCTGAGTATAGTGATCATAGAAAAGTTTTCAAACCATAGTAAAAGGGCTAACAGTAGTAAAGCTGCATTCCAATAGTAATTTCTATTAATGACTGTTTAAAACTAATAATTGTATCAGTATTATTAATAATAATTTATTTATTATTTTTATTATAACTTCTTATCTTTACTTTCTTTGCCCAAATGTTGTCTGAAAGAGATTGCTTAGCGATAAAACCGCATTTTGTAATAATTCATGTAAATTTATTATTTTAATTATTTTCTATATCTGGTGCGACTTTATCTACACAAACTTATCCTTAATTTGCTCTTCCAGATTATTTTAAGATAGAATTGTAATTTAATGAATGTTTATGTCAAATTTCGTTCTACCGTTTTGCTATGATAAAGTAACAAACAGACAGGACTCTTTCACATTTACAATATTAGTATAAATTGAGTAGTATAACGTTATTGACTTGATGAATTTCCAGACGGGTGCACATAACGCAAGCAACGTTGGAATGTCTGGGTGGCGCCTACGAGGTAGAGCCTGGGCATGGGGCCAGTCGTAACGCATACCTTCGGGATCATTCAGTGCAAACGTACTTCATCATACCACCTCCCAGGCGGAGAAAAGTAAGTTCGTATGAACTACATAATATCGACAAATTCTCACATAACTATCTGGGATACAATCATGTTGGTATATGTATATATACCAACATGATTGTATCCCAGATAGGATTGTGAGAATTTGTCGATATTATCGTGAACGTAACGCTTGACATGCCCACATTTCGCTAAATATGTTTATGCCAGATTTGAAAACACAAATTTTTGGACGTAATTCAGAGTGGAAAATTACTATGCAACGTTAAGCTACGATAAGTTTCAGAAATATTCGGGTTCACACATATTATTTCCCTAATAAAATACAATAAAAAAAAATCTAAGTTGAATATTAGGAAATGAGTAATAAACAGCATTCAAAATGTAAGTAATTCAATAAAGAGCAATCCTGCATATTGTCCATTAAATAAAAAAATGTATTCCTTATTTATTATGTTATTTTGTTCCGTAAAATATTGCTGGTGATTTTGCCACGATGGGGTAGGGGAAAAAATACCATTTTATATGTACCTACAGAGATATCGAGAGTAATAAAATAAAATACAGTATGTATTATGTATATGTTATACAACGTTAGATACAATTAAGTTGTTGACAATTCCTTTTAATCTCGGCTTGCTGTAGCGCCAGAGAATCACTCCTTCACTCCCTCGAGTCAATACTCACACTTCGTAATTACATTTCGCTAGAGACGGTAATCTTACGTATAAAAAAGGCCAACACCACAGATCTTGCCCTGAATTAAATATATATTGCATAGGGTAATGCAAGTTTATTTAAATTAAATTAATTATAATTATTAATTAACTTGTATTTAACGTCTAGAGTTCAGCAAAATTTATTGAGATAATAACATAAAATATTTCAGAGCAAGCATCTGTGAATAATAAATTAGTTGATTTTGAGATTAATGGTGTAAAATCTTAACTGATTAATCGTTCAGCTTTGTCAACGTCTTAATGCTTGCGTTGTATTTTTTTTTATACATTTTTAATGTAATAATGGTAAAATGAAGGTTTTTACATTTTATTTCTTGTTACAGATGTGCCTATCGACAGGTGTAGGCCTGGGCTCCGGGTCGCGTCGTAAGCTCTCCTTTAAAAATGTCTCCAACGTCGTGGTGCAGTTGTTACACTCCATCAAGTTCAATGTAGACGTGCCTTTTTCAAACATGGCCGCCTCACCGCAGGAGCTCAAGGCTAACGCAGCTAGGAAGGTACCTGCTTCACGGCATAACATTGTGATCATTTTCACTTTAATGAGTTCAATTTCCACTTGATCAACTCGTCAAATCAATGTTAAGAAGCATTGGATAGAATTAAATACAAAAACAATTAGTTTTAAGACGTATCCTTAGCGATTCTAAGGAAACAAAAACCATGAACCAATCACTGCGGTATGTGGTTTTTCGCAATGATTGGCATTATTAATTTAGAATTTCCCGTTGCTAGGGAACTGTAATTAGAACGCTTTTAACGTTGGTCAAGTGGATACTTTTAATTTTTCTGTATATTTAAACATTACATGTACAATCCACACACTTGACGTTTATATGAATTTTGCTCTGCACTATGAGACATGACAAAACAATACAAGTCAATGTCTCCGGCTTTTACTTGTTCTATTTAGAAATATTTGCTCGCTGTGAATTAATTCCTCGTTCCCGGAGTGCCATCTCTATATCGCAAGGTAAGTTATCTTTGTTTAATTTGTATATTTTTTACGATTTATGTTTTAATAAGTATTTAGTATACGAGATAGTGTAAATAAATATATATGCAAATTGTTACCTCACATTTATTATTTTTACTTTTAAATTAAGCAATATTACGATTGATACGATTATTTCTGTATTAATATGATAATAATCTTGATCAATTATTGTGGAACTGACCATCCAATTTATTTATTTAAACATAGGTACACGAACACTGGGCAGTGTGCATCTGGTTCTCACGGTAAAATCTAGTGATGCAGTTATTAATAATAGCTTAATTAAAGCCTACCTTTGATGTATTAAAGTCAATTAAATTAATGTCCTCCCAAAATACAATTTCATTATAATTAAGTGTAATTATATTTATATTTCGATAATTTGTATTTCTAAACATTAATGTATATTTTCAATAATTAATAGATTGCAAATAGAAATCATGCGCAATCAAATAATTTATTATGTTTTCAAAAATAAATTATCTGTTGTTATTTGTCATACATAATCTTCAGCTCCAAACTAAGCTTAGGTCGTACGTTTAATACTACTCAACTTATGTAATAAATGTATTCAGACGAATCTGTACTGAAATATTCAACATATAAAAGTTTATACAGTTCTAGCATCGAAGACTTATCAAACCATCGAACAGTATGTTCATCTGCTACGTTCACGAATTTGTCAATATATTATTATTACATTACACTGTGAAGTTTTACTTATTAATTTTTTGAAAAAAATCTATATTTGTTATTGTCTTTGCTTATTTTTATTCATCCCAAAAGTTGACTAGTGCATAATGCTAAGCATTAAGTTCGCTTTTTGTACAACATATTTGTGGACCAATAAAATAATGTAAATTAGTGTATCCACGAGTAGAATCAGATATTCGTATTCTGCGAAGAGCACGAGGTATCGGTGTGGGTTGCATCCCTGGTGGTGTTGTAGGTGCTGGACTTGCGGCGCGCGCTGCACGCTGAGCCGGGTTCAGCGGAGGCGCTGCGGCTGGCGACGCTGCGGGCGGAAGACGTGAGCGCCGCGCTGCACCCTCCCCCGGCCTCCGCCCCGCACCACCACACCTTCGACGCCGTCATGCAGCACCACGCCCTCCGCACGCACCCCACGGTCGCCTCTACATCCGCCCGCACTCATCTCGCGCACTCGCTTATTTATCTGTGCCCGTGTTGCGCCACACTAGCGATACGTTAGGACTAAACTACGACGAGGGAGTTCCTTCACGAAATTTATGTTGAAAAATTGTGCCATTAGTGTTTATGGAAGGAAGTGGTGTTGATAAATAATAACTTTTAAGGGGTATTTTGAATAGCTGTAAAAGACCACTTTCTAATATTATATTTAGAAATAACTATGATCTGGCTTATGGCATCGTATGAAGCTCATCTCTAAGTAATATTTATAAAGGAATTTGCTAAAACTAACTTCAAGTATCAAAGAAGGTTGGTACGAAGGGCATAGATATCAAAGCCATAGTTAATTAGAAAATAAAATATTTTCAAACAGATTAATTCTGTCTCTATCTATGTCCGTGGAAATAGTTTTAGAGACAGATTAACCGCGTAACTCTGCACAGACAAATTAGTGACATGTGCGCTCATGATCGATGGAACGTATGAGCTCTAGGTTTATGTATAAATTTTTTTTGTTGTAATTAATTAAACAAGCTCCTACGTTCTTGTCAATAGCTCTAGGGTGATATAGAACTTGGTTGACAACTAGGGCAGTTCTACATTTCCAGGTGTCTTGACAGAAACCATATCGTCATTGTTCCATGAACATTTTTCGCTTCAAAACATTTGTACATGAAATGCATCGGCAGTTCGTATACGATACATTTCATATTTGTGCCGAATGATAACCTCGCTTAATGGTTTCCTAGTAGTTAGTTTGGTTTTTGAGTGGTGGTTTTATTTTAACTGAATTCTATGCTGCTTTGTTTTAAATTTAAGGTGTGCACTGAAGCTTTCGACTACTACTGAAATAATTTTGCGAGATTTCAAGATAAGAAATGTGTTTTGCTTCGCATTAAATTATGTTTTATTATTGCAATTTTATTGATTAAACTTTATTATATATGTCCCACACGACCACTGTCACTAATGTACGATTGTATGTCCACATATTTTTTTAAATCTCAAAGTTTATGTATCGGCACAGAAATTCCCTATCTTTCTAAGACATTCATTTTAGTTGCTGGTCTTACAAGCTTTCACCCAATATCCTTTAAAGAAACAAAATATCTTTAAGAAATGACAATTCTTCCGTAACTGCTCTCTCTACTCCTAATTCAATATAATTAAATTGGTTAATATAAATGTATTTGAGTAGGTTCTACACCTGAAATTAAATTTGTTTTAATTAATGTCATAGCGTCATTCCATAATATTTTATGATAATTTCTACTGTGTTAGTTCGGTAAATTATTTTAGTTGTTTTCCACTCTGTCCAAAGTCTGTCATGTGTTTTAGCGACCCGCGGTTATATTATTACTTGTACATAACGTGGAAGACTCGAATACACCAGCGACTAACATGAGATGTCTGCTCGTTATTTTTCAGATATTCCGACCTTGGACATTTGTTCCACTACAAATTGCCGCTGAAACAGTAAGCGCAGACAAAATGTTGTTCATGTGTATTATTGTTTTCCACCATTTACCGGGCGATACACTTGAATTCCCCCAAAAATGTAGGTACGCTATGCTTACCTCACCTCGGGAATTTATTCGTTCGCACTTCTATATCAAGTCACTACAAGATTAGTCGTTGACCAGGTGTAAATTAGGATGAAAAAAATACGCGAGCACTCAAAACCACTCACTGCCACATTTCTTATTGGAGTACTCTTTTTTCGAAATTGTGAAACTGTGTTATTGCGATTGTTTTGTTGATTTTGTTTGAGAATAAAGTCGAACGCACCGAACTGTGTTTCACTCGCTGCCCCAACTAGCCACCTCGAGCACTAACTAGAGCATGCTATAAGACCTCGCCTGGACTTACTTGCATGATATCACCTGCCATTTGATTTTAATTACTCATAATCTAAAGGTGATAATTACTTTGTGTTCGATCATTTCTCCACGTAATCTTACCTTGCTCGTTGCTTTATTATTGTAAAATTAAGACAGTTGAAATGATCTAGCATGAATATTGTAGTCTTAAGATTTTTCAATTTGCTAGTTAAATAACTTCTTGTATTTTCCAAAACCTTAAAATTCAATAAGCTGTTGATCTTTGATCTTTGAATATTTCTATCGATTTCTGTGCCTCTATTCATACTTTACTATTCTAATAATGCGATGCTGCTTCGGAGACCGGATCTTTTTATTTCTAAGGTCAGTTCGAAAAATGTGATTGAAGCATGATGGAATCGGCATGCGGTGGATCCGACTATGTACCCAGTGTCCCTGCCCTCGAGGACCTCTATACGTAACCTGCCTTCATCTATAATTGGACCTGCCCTATAACAACCTTCTGTGTCCCCCAGAAATTCATAACGATGTTAGCTATAAATGTGAGTATTACATGGTATGAGTCAGTAGGTTTGAACATTTTTCATTCGATATCCACAGAATAAAGTAACTGAGAAGTTCAAACGGCCTCTGAAAAAACGTCACTCGTCTGTGTATCACCAGCCGACGAATCGCGTCAACAAGTACCTGGCACAAGCCATCGACGCGCGCTCCGTGCACCGCGAGAAGGCCACGCACGTGCATCTCTTGACACTCTGCTTCAAAGATGGAGCGAAAGAAGCACAGGTATTATTTTAATGGTAATGTTTAAAAAACATATTATGCGGTGTTTTATTCTGTAATGGTTTGATTACTAATTTTGTTTGAGATTAGTTGAGTTGTTAAATTACTAAGACATCCGAATTATGAATTTTACCTCTAATTATTAACTGATAATATTTATACACTGTATATAGATATGGCTTGCCATATATAATGAATATTTTTAATATTCCTAAAAGACTTGACTATTTCATTGAAATATCTCGTGTGGTCCTGACGGCGTATTACAGAAAGCACGTCCAATTCGAATCAAATACGTACTAAAACTAACGTGTCCGAACATATTGTTTTATTATACACTAGTAGACCCGCACTACTTCGTCTGCATCACACTTACTTGACATTTATCAATATATTTCACCCAATTTAATATAATACCTTTTTAAATTATAGCCTATGTATTATTTTGATGTATAAGCTATATTACTCTAAAGTTTCATCAAAATCGGTGTCCGTAGTTTTTACGTGAAGGAGTAACAAACATCCGTCCATCCATTCACAAACTGACAAACTAGTACCAGAGACTTGTTATCTAAATATTCCTGCATTTTATAACTGTTTTTTTTAATACTTTTCAGTATCGAGCGTCAACAGATGGCGGCTGGGCGGGTTCTCTCGGCGCAGCTCTAGGAGCACTAGCAGCAGCGGGAGTACTCCAAGCGGCAATACTCCCTCGTACCACAATACTCCTGTTGCTGTTTGTCACTGCATTTGCGTGGTCGGCTGCGGTGTTAGCCTTGACTTTAGCCGCAAGACTTCGACTTATACCTTGCGACGTATCTCGCCCGTTTGCACTGAGGAATGCTATTACCACGTTTACTATTGTACTCGGATATGCCGTCGGTCAAGTTAACGTGGTAAGTGTCATTTTTCTACTTTTAATTTCAAAATAGTACAAATTCCATTCAATAATATTTAGCAATAAGAACTGAACTCGCAGTATCTAGTGTAATAACATTGGATATTTTGATATATATTATACACCGCCACCTAGTCATAAACTTAACAGAGCAAAGACCCACTTTGTACAAAGTGGCAACCGTCGTTTATGTAAGTTCAGTATCAAGAACGATCCAAATGTATTTTGGAACTTCGTACCCTCAAATTTCATTGCCGTGTATATTATTACATATATATATTACTCTATATATATGGGTCATTAGTCGCCTGACTTAAATTTAATAAAATATTTATTTATTTTATAGGTGACATGTAGAGAAATAGATGTATGCCGTAATCTAACCGAGAACGTGACGACTATGCACGAGATTCGTCATACAAGTGGGGATATAGCAGCTGCGTTGTGGAGCAGTAGCGATCACCGTGCGTGCCCCGTCCCCTTGTACATCACCCTGGGGTGCTGCCTCAGTATGCTGGCCGTCGCCGTATTCCTGAGACTGCCAATACTGATCAAAGGAGTGCTCTTGGCGGTCATGACAGCCGGCTACATGGCAGTTATCATGGCGTACCACAAAGACTTGTTTGATTGCTACGACCTTATGACTGAGTAAGTTTATTCCTGAAATATAAATATGTTTTTTCAATAGGAATAATAAGCAATGCTAAAACGTTGTATTGTGTGAGTACTGTTTTGTCTGCGAGTCCGGCGATGCCGTATGAAATTTTATTTCATTTTCAGTTTTATTAATATTCAATTTAATATTGGTAGTAGCTTATATTGGTTGATAACAGAAATGAGTATATCATTGATCGAATTGAGAAATCTGAACATTTATCTTAGGTATAACTTAAAAACAAATATGTGTTTAATCACTATATAACATACTGTTGACTTTTACATTGTATTAGAATTTCAAATTTGAAATTGCTATAGGTTTTTGTTAAAAATATATGTAATTCTTTTTTTTATAAAAAATAGTCAAAACTCAAGGAAGTGCTAATATTCTTACGTACCTACATAAAAACTGTAGTAGCCGTTAGATGGCTATATATAAAATAAAATAATTATCAATTCTAACATACGGAGGATTAAAAAAGTATTAAAGAATATATATACGATATTATAAGTTCTATGGCAGAACATATAATAGTAGTTGTTTTATATTTCTACCAATAAAGAAAAGTTACGTATGACGTGATACGGCGTGATCGTAGACGATGCACCTGGTGCCGTGTGCACTATTAATTAGGACAGTGCAGATGTGTTTCTCATATATCAGCACTGCGTAACAAAACAAATGAATATATAAAAAAAATCTAAAATAATTAAATATAAAACGACGTACGTATGTTCAGGCCGGGGCCGGTGGGGTCTGCGGCGACAGCGTGCGCGTGGACGCTGGCGCTGGCGCTGGCGGTGCTGCTGCACGCGCGGCAGACCGAGTGGACCGCGCGACTCGACTTCCTCTGGCAGGCGCAGGCGCGCGACGAGAAGCGCGACATGGACGCTCTCCAGGTACTTTACGCGAACACATAATACTATTTTATAAAGCGAAAATATACAAAAAACCGTTCCCCCGCCAGACGGGTGACGAGGGGTTGTGGAATACTTACCTGAAAAAACCTCTTTTTCAGGTAAGAATCCCACAACCCCTCGTAAATAGATGCGTGAGAATCGTACCCATTAATAAAAGCCATATACATATATGTACATACGAGCGCCACTAACGGTCGCGAGGCTTTAGTATTCTTAAATACGTAGAGACAGATTACGATACGAGGACATAAATATCTATCTTCATTCTTTTTCTATCTTTTATTTCTAAAAATAATCTAAAGGGATGAAAAGGGGGGAAATTTAGTTTACGGAAACGATTGTGTCGCACACATGTTTTCATAAATAATAAAACATTGCACCTAAAGTCAAGTTTCTAAACACGTCAAGTCAATCTTAAGTATTTAAAAGGCGTTGTTTATACATAGTTATCTGTTTATTAGTAACTACTTAATTACATTAAAAAAAATACTACCTTGATTAAGTTTAGTACATAATTTATTAAATAATTATAATTACCATTCCTGTAGTAACGTTTTATGAAAACCATAATTTGATAATTCTTTTCTCAGGCATCTAATAGGCGAATATTATTCAATCTACTCCCGGCACACGTTGCGACGCATTTTCTTGACAATCAGTTTAGGACCAATATGGTAAGTGACTAATACTGCGATAATTTCATTTATACTTTTCAAATTTTGCTTTCATTTCCGATTAGGTAAAGGCTCAAGCTAAAGCTTACAGAATCTTGATGGACAATGAGAGTTGACGAACGCTTATATACATACATAAATTATGGAAAAGTGTAGTCTCTTGGCACAGGAATTTTTTTGCTTATGGAAATAATTCGGCGGCTTCAATAACTATGTAGAATTAAATAAAAATCGTGATGCCTAAATAAAGAAATTATGAATGAGAATAATAAGCGTAAATTGGTCGATGTAATATTTCTGGATTTAATATTTAAAGATATTATCTTTATCGACAGGATCTGTACCACCAGTCGTATCAGCGCGTGGGAGTTGTATTTGCGTCAATCACCAACTACCACGAGTTCTACATGGAGCTCGACGGCAACAACCAGGGCATGGAATGTCTTAGGCTCCTCAATGAGATTATTGCCGACTTTGATGAAGTTAGTACATAAAATTTTTAATTTATACATTCTTTTATATGGTTTTTTGACTAATCTAATATTATAATTACAGATTTTATGTTTGTAATGTATACATTTAAGTGTATTTAAAAATTATAAAATCTTTCACCTAATGAAAGATTTATTATCAACCAGCAATATGTGCATGCACCTCATATTGCTATAGAAAAAATATCCTTAAAATTATACTCATGCTTGGCTACGAACTAATGTTTTATAAAAGTGTTAAATGAATCTTGCTCTCGGTTATTTAATTAAAATTCTTTTTTTCTCAGCTGCTTGGCGAAGACCGGTTTAGTGCAATAGATAAAATAAAAACAGTGGGTTCAACGTATATGGCAGCAGTGGGTCTGATACCTGATAAGAAAATGTCTGACGAAGCCAACTCCCGCAAACACATGGCTACGTTGGTCGAATTCGTTTTCGCTATGAGGGACAAACTGAAAGATATTAACGACAATTCTTACAACAACTTCATGTTGCGAGTTGGTAAGTTTAAACCTCATATTTTCAAATGCAAATTCTTAATTTGACTTTCGTAAAGCTACATAGTTTTAATTATTTCAGGGATAAATGTTGGCCCTGTCGTAGCTGGTGTCATTGGTGCCAGAAAACCACAATATGATATTTGGGGCAACACTGTAAATGTTGCATCTCGCATGGATTCCACTGGTCTTCCGAATCACACACAAGTTACCGAAGAGGTTTATCATTTACTCAAAGACTTGCCTTATCAATTTGTATGCAGAGGCAAAGTGAAAGTAAAGGGGAAAGGCGAAATGACGACCTATTTTTTAACAGATAGAGCACCAGCAAATGGCACTGGAACTAATCCGACTACTAATGGGCCAACTCCAAATCCCCCAACAGCATATGGTGGAGTGGCAACACCATTAGCCATGTTGCAAAACTCGGCGAGGAGAGCCGCCGCCCAGCCTTCTAGATTACCGCCCTTGCGGGAAACATCAGCTGCTGGCGAAAATGAACCCTTACTGCCGTCTAACGGACATCAAAGTAATGGTAATAATCATAAAGGAAGCAAAGGGAGAAGAAATAAGGAATCTGATGAAACGCCGCCGCCGCCACCACCTCATGGAATGTCGGGAAACCCTAGGTGGCCACCTCCCAGAGCACTCGTCCCACCTTGGCCGCGGCCTCAAGAACCACGGCCACCTGTTGCTCACAAACGGAGGCCGCCTCCGAGACTGCCCAGACCGCGCTCGAGCGAAAGTTTACCACTTGCCCGCAGTCCGCGCGTGCATTCCTCTGCCGACGAACTTAGCTCCCTAACTAGATCTCCAAGTCTCAGTTCCTCTGATGAAAGTTATTCTCGAACTACAGATGCCTCTCCTTCCCCGCCGCGGCCCACGCAGTGGTTACCTCCATTGAGACCGCAAAGAACAAATCCTAGTCCCGCATACGACTACCCACAGGTTAGAGCTACTAAACCTATACAGAACCACATCAATGAATTGTATGCGAAACATAAAATGAGTAAGAAACCGTCTCTCGACGATAAATTTCTCGACGGCATTAACTTTCACAAGGAGGAAGAGAAATTACAGCGGAGTATAATAAATATGCTTCAGGCGTCTGCAAAACGGGACGGGTGCTGTCAGACCGATAAGAAGGATGTGTCGAGTCGGTTCACACATCGAACTAATTCGTTCTCCAGTACGGGCAGTAGACCGAACAACCTGAAACACTTGAATCAAGATAGTAGGGAAGTGTTTACGAAACGAAGTCCGACTGACGTGGTATGCGTGCCGCCATTCGAGAGAGAAATTCAAAGACTACTCGACGATAAGAGTCATATAAAAAACAATATGCAGAAAATAGAAAGAAAAGAATTAAAGCTGGAACTAAGGTAAGATCTATCTTTATTAGACTTTTCTTGTAAGATAAAAAAAAATCTTCTAAGTGTAAAGCATTCTAAGCAGGTCCCCTTGGGATCGATTATTGCTATTCGGTCAAGAGATACACAAACATTCAACACGACGTGTGATTTATTTGTCTGTCCAGAGGTCAGAATCCAGCGTTAGAGCCCGTACGCAACTGCAACAACAACAGCAGCCCGCTGCATGCGGTGGGGCTGGCGGCCATCACGCAGCTGGCGCGGCACGATGCCCCCGCCGCCCCCGCCGCCCCCGCCGCCGCCGCCGGCCCCGCCGCCCCCGCCGCCCCCGCGCCCCTCGCCCACGTGGCGCACGTCCCGTCGCCCCTGCGGCCCACGGCGGCGGACTTCCCCGGCGTGTTGCCCACCGACGTCGTCGTCGAGCTGCCGTCGCCTACACACGACAGGGAACACAACTCTAGGTATAATTCTACGATTTTAATTGGTACATTTAAGACGATTGGTATAGTCTGCAAGATGCTAAGTTGCTGTCTATGATTTGAAAGATTTAATGATATTCCTATGCTGATTTCATATTTAAACTTATTTTTTTATACTACTATGGAGGCAATCAAGTATAAGAGACATCTGATAGACGTTGTATTATATAGCCTATGGACGCTATGGACTATGAGTTAAATATTTTGGATGACGTCCTCCGAACTATTGATAATGCCATATTCTAAAATTGTTGTCGCGGTATTTTTTTACTCTAACTTAAAACTAATATCCTCACACAGTTTTCATATATATATATCAGTAGTTTAGTAGTTTTTTTTATGAAATACATATAATATAGAAATTCTTAATTTTTATAGTCCACCGTGTACACGGGAGGTTGAAGCGGCAATTTCTAAAGAGAAACAGGAGAAAGAAATCCAGGAGAGACTACACAACCGGGTATGTTTATATTTATTTCTGTTTACAAACAATCAAAATGAAAGATTATTGAGATTAACTTTTTCAATTTGTGATTACTATATTATTATTAACAAATAGAGCATTTTGTAACGTATAATGAAACCAAATACAGAGTATCCTTCGAAACATAAAGGGTGGTTGTTATAAAAAATGTATTACGTCTAGACATCAATATCTTGTTTTAAAATGACAAATCAATATATTTTTTTTAATATTATAAAGTTTATGTATTATATATTATACAATTTGTCTTCGGCCGCAGGTGACCACTTCGAATCATAGAGAAATGGGCCTCTACGGTGAGAGTCAATCCGAATGGAGCTCCTCGTGCTCGGAGGGCGAGGGAGACGGGGAGGGTGGACATCCAGAAAGTACCGGCTATACGACCGACGACCCAGCTCTCGAGAATGTCTCGATGCTGAATGAAGCGGGGCTCACGGATGCCGAGGCTGCTCTGAGCGACGTCAACTCGTGCTACTTCGATCGCGACGACGACGTGTCCTCTCGTGCATCTTCCCGCTTACTCGACTCCGAGGCGCTGGTCTCCCTCGAGTCGCTCAGCGCCATCTACGACTCAGACGAACCCGCGCACAGGTACTTAGCGAATATCCGGACCGTCACAGAATCTATCACGAGAAACTTCGGCCAACCCGCTCATGTCACCGACGGCGAGAGTGATGTGTAGTGTTATGTGAATCGAACGGTAAGAACTAAACCGTCTAAGGGCAGATTTGTATTCTCTGTGTCTTTTTTTACTTTCGGACTATATTATTCTTCAGATATTGTGATAACTAAGAAATCTCGAATATGAGTGAGTAATCATGACAATTTTCTAACTTTTATTGCTATTGTGTTATTATTATTAATGTAGGAAATTGTGGTGACGAAAACTGTAATTAGCTCTCTAATTGAGAAACTTGTAGGGAATACTAATTCACTCAATTCTATTTTATTGGCATTGTAGTAAAATGGAGAAAGAAATCACCTTTTAATCTTTCAAAGTAATCGCCATCGTTGTGTCGATACTGCTGACGTGCCTATTTGTTTTAATTGATTTGTATTTGTAAATTGTGTCAATATGTACCTAAGCAAATTTATATATATATAATTCTGTATGATATTCATGTATAGCCGAAGGTGCCATGTGATGGCTCGTATGTCATCTAGGAGTATGAGATGATCTCTACAATTAGAAGGTGCTCTGTATTAGAATTATTTGTCGTTTGTCTTGTGATAATGGTATAGGGACTTGAATTCGAGCGACCAATCAGTAGATGTCGATGTTTAAATAATAAGGGCTGGCCCCGCACCGTGAATTTGTCTTTAGAGTCCAATATTATTCAATGTATTGAGACAAAGGAATTAAAAACAATTATTATATGCTAATTAATATAGTATAAGCATGATTTTGCATTTGAATTTGTCTTTATAATACACATTGTTACCGTAGACTGGAAGTTTATCTAATTTAGGTACCGCATCTTCAGTACCTATTATGTATTTTAGTATTGTAGGCGAATGTCTAAATATCATGATTGTAATGTATAATTAAATCAGCGTTAAGGCTGCTATGTAGCTCACTGTACATATTCTCAACCGATTCTCAACAGATATAAATATCATTAGCCTTTTTTGCATATTTTACATTTCATTTTCATAGTAATTTAGTTCGTGAAATATATTGCTATTGTTTCCTAATTATTATGTAATTCTAGTCATTTGTGAAGTATCAGTCCTATTATTATAAACATTTACCCTGTATGAGTAACTATGGTGCCATTTACAAGATATTATTTCTTGTTTTCCTTGTCATTTTTTCTTTAATATTGAAATTCCATATTGATTCATCGGTATAACAATTTGTTAGGCGCGGCTACGCCGAAAACATTTTTTACTATAAAATAGAATACAAATATTACATTAAGGTCCAGAAATCTGATTATAACTTTAACCTTCTTTATTTTTGAAAAGTTTATACGTCTATAACATTTTAACATGGCGCTATAAAGTCAAGCAAACTTAATGACGTATTATCCTATTAATTACTAAATATATGAATCATGAGGAAACTGTTAAACATTCCTTACCCAATACAATATATACTGTTGCGTTTATTGAAATCTATTTTAGATTTAACTACAGTCGCTAAAACATCTTTACTAACACAGTAAATTGAAAGTATTATAGAAAAACTACCATGAGACTTAAAGTACAACCAGCGCCAATAGCGAATATTTGTTGTAAAATATTCTTATAAATATAACATTTACTTTCATCATTGTACTTCTATATAAGTTTGTGTCAATTCAATTATTATAGCTACTTTTAGAGTAAGATGTAACCTAATGGGATTAAACTTTTTTGCTACGAGGGACATGTAGCCTTTGATCAGATAATTCAATATGCAACTTTAGTTGCAAATATGTGTATTTGGAGTGAGGCTAACGCGCAAAATCAAATATGCTCTCGTTTCAATTTATTTGTTCTTATATTCCTATATATTTTTCTATTTTAATCAAAACTTTATTGCATTATAATGCTTACATGTATTTATATTAATTAAAAAAAACATATTTCATTTACCGCAATTATTTATAAGAATTCATTAGCATGAGGTCCTTTTTTTTGTAATATGCCCATGCTTCAAGTTGAGAAAAAAAAAAGAATACCTAGTGATGTGAATATAACAAATTCTCAATGTGTTTTAAACATTTTCGATTTGTATATATATTAAAAGCGAAAGCACACTCCATTGAAATGTAGGAAATTGTTAATCTTTGTAAATATTGTTAATCCTGTCAAGTGCTATTCTATTTGGAATACTTATGTGTATCATGCAGGAAAGAGATGACATTATTTTTCGAAGGAATCCTCTTATTTGCTATTTTTAATCCTTGTATTTCGACTCAATATTTTTCTTATCGTATGTACACACACATAGTGCCAAAATAATTTATGCGTATGCTTATTGTAATCATTTATTCATTCTATACTAAAATACACTAGATTTTGAAACATTACCGTTTCTAGTTCAAAGTATAATAAGAAACTTCTGTGAAATTACAAAATATGAAAAATAGTTCTGTTAATTTTAGTGTACCTGTAAACTTTGTAGACGAGTAGTTCCACAGTAACTATTTCAATAACGATAGAGAGCTTATAACGAATGTGGATACGATTATATTATTCAGATGTATTCTAGGAACATTAATGCACTCAATTTGAAATTTATTTTAAATTGATTCCACTGTCGTTGTCGCAAAATACGATTATAATTATATATATATGTTTTAATACTTACAATAATAATACAACGGCTATGCCGTACACACTATTATTATTATTATCATTATTGTGAAACCTTATGTTACGATTTTTAGATATTTCAATTGCGCATTATGTAGAAAATGTATTGTGTATTTTATTTATTTCAATTCAATTAAGCAATATTACATACAAATTAAAACTGGTTTACATGACCTGTATTTGTTATTTTATTTCCTGAACCCAGATATACTTTAATACTAAGACATCATCAACACATTTGCGAAGGTATATTATAAAAGAGACCAAATCCAATAAAATCCTTTTAATGCAAATATATGGGGAAAAATGAAATACGAGTATGTTTTAGGAATAAAGAACTTGAATATTATTTTTCAGAATTAGTTGTTTTATATTTAGACGCGCTACACGTTTATATCGTATAGGAGTGCAGGTCAGGTACGCAGTGTCGGTTACTGCGGCGCGGTCGTCTTCCGCATACTAATGCCCTTAACCTTGAAATGAAGAATATCAGAGAAGTCACAACGGATGTAATAACTGACACCAGGCGGTTTTATTGCGTAACAAAGTAAATATTTAACGTTTTATAAGATAGCGCCTAATCTAGTCTTGTAAATACCAAAGGGTAAAGAAAACCATTTGGAAATAAAAAAATTTAAAGATACAAATTAAAAGAGATATATTAATCTATTTTTTATTAATTAAATATAATTACAGAATAATGAATCTTATTACCTACTATTTTAATTTATAGTTTACATAATAATTTATGACAAACGCAAGCAAATTACTTGTTTGTTGATATAGCTATACCTACTTAGTAACATCGGCAAAGTGAAATAGGTCATAAAGATAACCACTACGACTACACGATACTCAATAAAGTATTTATACCTTCTTTAATCTCAAAAAGTAATATGACATGACTTTAGCCTTAGTATTAGTAGGTATAACTCCTCATGATGAATTAAAATGTCTAATCCTAGATTCCTTGAGTATAAAAAGATAGTGTCTGTTTAATCCAACAGATTGTTGAAAGGGAACAATATTTTAAATGTTTACTTTATTAATAATGCAATCGTTTAATATTACTTAAACTATTATTATTGGTTTTGGACATAACTTTATTGTACATAACACTGTCTCCCATAATTAAAAGTCTGTTACATTGGTATACTACGTATTATATTCTTATCTAATGCACTATCATGCAGCTATCATATTTTTGGGTATGCGAGTTTATCTGTACTAGTGGTTGGCATGGCAATATTGATCAAACATGCTAAAATATAGGAATGTAGCTATAATCTTGATCCAGAACAGAATTTTCAGCTAGACATAAGGGCAATAACCAAATAATATCAATTTATCTGTATATACATATAAATTGGCATTCCTAGTAGTAATAAAGACAAACATATATGTACTACGACTACGACGTATATGTAGGTATATTCATAATCTGTTTAGACAGATATATAATACCGTGGTCACACTTAAAGTTTACCCGTTTTATGAGATAAAACGTAAATTATTTTCTATCAAGAATGAACTATCATCATTCCTAATAAGTAATGAAATTGCACGTTACTAATCAAAGGCAGTTTCATTCAAAATACTATGAAAGTATGAAAAACAACCGACATGACATGTGTGTGAGTAACTAAAACCACGAGCGACAGTGAGCCAGGTATGACGCGGCACGCCGGGGCCTCCACCACAAGCGTACAGCTGCCCGTCATGACGCCGCCGTTCATTGGTTGGTCGCAGGAACCGGTCGGGCTGCGCCCCCGCGCCTCCCCACTTCACCGCCGCCGCTACAAACAATTTTAAATTCTTATTCATGTTCCTTGCCACGACCGTTGCTGTCGCAGAGATCGCGCTCTTTACCCGTATTATGCGTAATCTTATCGTAATGTGTTCAATGTGCAAAACGTACTGTGTATTCGGTGTGTAAAATTTATAACAGAATAGCATTAAAGAATTTAGTGTTTAGCAAGAAAGGTACCGTCTACGCTATGATAGTACACCGAGATTCCGGTGGTCTTGTTCTTTTTGTTTCCCCGGTGGTTCGTGCGCGACTTCGACACAGTGCTACCTATACCATGTGCATCAGATAGTGTCGTGCTCCTATTAGTTTGTCGACAAACTAATATGCCAGCTCTGAGTGACTACAGTGCGTGGTGAGCGCTGAGTGTTTCGGTGATTCACAGTGTGGTCGTAATATGAAGGTGACGGTGTGTTTTGGTTCTGTGCGGGTGCTGGTGCCCTGCGGCGCTGGCGATCTGCTGGTCAGGGACCTCGTACGCGAGGCGACGCTCCGCTATAAGAAAGCAACTGGACAGGTGAGTTTAGAAGTTAATCAATTACTTTTCGCGCGGATACTGAGCGTTTTCATTGGTTAACGTCAGTTGTTTATGTTTTTCATACCTACCCACCAATGGTGATATATCTGTGAATAATACATATTACTAAGTGTTATTCAAAGTCTATGAATGTTGTAGTAGGTATCCATTACATGTTTATAGTGCATTACTATTAAAATGAAATAAATATCCCAACGACATAAGTTTTATCAATTTGAAAAATTTTAAATTACAAAACTAATGTAGGTATGATCAATTTTCGTACGGTGATAGTAGATGATAGATATGACATCAAATGAAACACATGAAACACTGGACTTACCGATTTCAATTCTGAAGAAACCTTTTAACACCCTATTTGAAATGCCGTTTGGTTAACGAAGTTTGTGAAGTGAATATAACGTTTCAAACGTTATATTTCCAATCAAATAACATATTATATTACCGATGAAGTTGAGGTTAGTTAATTTGTCACTATTATCTAGAATCATTCACGATTATGTCGAGGACAAGAATCACTTTCGCGACATATCATTCCATCCATTTGGACGGGACAGCATTAGCGGTTCTAGAGATGCGGTCAAACTAGATTTGTGTTCAACCTGCTTGAATTTCATAACGTAGACGTAGACGTTAGTAAAGACAAATAAGTTTTTTAGTAATCTAATACAGGTAAATACATAGAGGATGTAAAATAGATTTGTAAAACTAGAGTTACTAAACAGTTATAAGTATAAATTTTTCAAAGAAACTCTTTCCATAGTTAAGCTAATTCCCAGTTTGACATAGGTCAACCAAATATTTCGAAATTCTTATGATTTACGACGTAAAGTAATATTACGTACATACGATTTTATTCTTATAAAACCCTTCTATTATACGCTATCCGTTTGAAGACTCTTCGAGAAGTGATTAAAATTAGACTAAGCACATACTCGTCTTAATGATGTGCCCGACAATCGTTCCCTTTCAGGTACGATGTGCTCTATAAAGTGTCCATTGTCTCTCTGTATGGCTTAAACAGCGGATTTTTTTCGTTTAATAAATATGTAGTTATATAATTCTAATATTTCAAATTTTGTAAATGACTAGACATTTTATTTTATGCAAATTACATACCTACTGCAGATCGTTCGACTTCATATGACCTATATATTTATATTCAAAATATTTTAGTTATGGAATACTTACATATTTAGAATTTGCGAATGACCGTGAAATTTGGCTTTGGCCATGTGAACAAATGCCTTATGTAACTTCATTAGTATGTTAGTTAGTAATAGACGTTCACCTGCTGTACACACCTGCGTCTGCGACCTACGCTACACTTGCACCCGTCGCTCGTCGCGTCGTAGGAAGCGGCCGGCCTTGCATGCAGTTTGTTTCTCTGCACATCGTCCTAGTGCCCACACCACACCATACCAAGAAATAAATAGACATTGTTATTTATAAAAATATACTCTTTCAAATAAAATCCTTAAGATATCTGTAAAAGGAGTTCACATAATGCATTTGGACAAGATTAGGCATTCTGCTATCTGATACAATTACTTATTTACCTATTTACTTGGTTATTCAATAACAAAAGGATAATCAAATGTTCGAATTTAATAATAATAATATTATTCATGAACCACGTTTCCGCAAATCGCATGTTTCTTTCAGCAAACGTTTACATTTCTGCATGATTGGTCGTCGGTTATTGCACAACGCTAAGGTCGCAGACTTCGAGTTAAGTAGCGTAGTAAATATTCGCTTGCCGGTCTACTAGTGAAACGATAACAAAATATACATCTAATTACATAAATTTAAGACAGGAATAAAATTATACGGGAATTGAATTGTATTTAATTCCAAAATTTAAAGTCACGTCTTTACTGCAGCGTGGTGGTAATTTTTACCTTTCTTGAAACAGTTTCTAATGTTTGAAAATAATAGCAATAACAATACCAGAAACAATGAACCCGTTGTAGCGACAGGCACGGCCAGCTTGCCAGGTATGCGAGAGGAACGGGCGCCTTGAAAAGTTGAAACACCTATTGTACTCGATCCGTGCTGTATGAGGCTCGTTCGGGACCGGTTCTTGGAAAAATGACGAGACATTCTTACTACTCAAATAGCGTATGCCATGGGTTATACCTACTATCAAACACGTCAATCATTTCGTTTTAGATTTATGCATACTCAGTACTTATGCATCTGAGAGACACGACACCACTGAGGTAGGGTGTTTAGTTACTCATAATAACGGCACGGGAAAGTTATCACTGTCAGTTAGGTACTTAGAAGTCCGTTCATGAAGAAGAACATTCCGTAAGTTAAAACAAATATTAACTAGTAGTATCTGAGTAGGTGTAATTTGATAACTAATAAATCCAATATCATGTTCTTAAAATAAAAGAAATTGGAGTATACTTAATATTCTTTTTATGTCTCTAGAAATATTAAAAGATATTTAAAAGTCTGCAAGTTTTAATATATGGTTTAAGTTATATCTTCAATCACTACTATAAAATTTTGATATCCGTTGAAAATAAAATTATCATAAAAATCAACAAAGACTCGGTTTCTCAGGCGCCATTGGCCATATGTTGGGTTTCCTGTCAAGTGTGTAGTGTCCGAATGTGACGGTTACTTCTTAATTTTAAATTAATGCGATCCACATGTTAGCATCGAAAATCTTTAGTAAAAATTTAACGTCTTTTTCGAGTGGTTCCAGATTTGTGACTTGGATGAATTTTTAGTATATAGTATTTATTATATTATTAGTACTTAGACAGGGCTATAACCCTGTTTAATTCATAAAGTTATAAAATTAAAAAAAAAACAAACTTTATTAAGTTTAATTTACAAAACCTTGGACGTACTTTGTTGAATTTAGAAGCAATTACAGTCCAACAAAATCCCTAGATATTTATTTATAAATACGCAATGCGATATATAAATAATCTGAAGAAATATTCTCTGATACTTTCTTATGATAATAAAAATGTAAATTTAGTATATATTCCACAGTTTTAATCTTATCAAAAACTGATATCTGCATAATTAGGATAGTAGAACATTCTGTGAAGCTATTATTACTATCAACTTTAATACTTGTAAAGTTATTTACTTAGCTCTTATGGAATATGGAATCAATAGGTGCTTAGTGTACCATTTAACAATAGAAAGAAGCACTGTAGGTACCTACAAATGATGAAGATTTAAATATGATCGAATTATATCCCAGAGTACTCTTGCAGATCTTTCTTCACAATACATAATATGTATAAATTTTACAATGTTATTGTAAAGTTTATACAATGTTTTACGATTAATAATCTATATAGTATCTTAAGTATGTATTGAACTACGAATCGGCAAACGTAGTATGGGGCCCTGCAGTTAGTTGGAGCGACGACATACGCAGGGTTGCAGGTAACAACTAGAAGAGAAGGGCTGAATACAGTGCCCAATGACGAGCCTCAAGAGAAACATATTTCCAGCAGTGGACTGCAGTATGCTGGTGATGACGATGACTGTGAAGGATGGAGACCAAGACGATGAGCAAAGAAAATATAAATAGTTCGCAACAATGACCTACATATAACATATCCTCATATCACAGAATATCTATTAATATTAAATACTTAGACCTATATCTGTAATAAATACTTTTCCATCTTATTGTAAACGGGCAGTCTATTTAAAAATCTATACATTTATACTCGATGATTGTATCTATCTGTCAAGGTTCCAGAACCAGTTTTATACTTGCGGTTTTTTGCTGACTGAGCTAATACTTTAATGAGTTTCGTATTTCACATAGATTTAGATCGAGACTATAATCTAATTAGGTAATCTGCAGTATAAATAAGCATAGGGCGTAGTATTCAATAGTACAACAATCGATTCCGCAAATGTAATGTGAGAATATCTGTAATTAGGTACCTACTCTTTTCCAAGTAAAGATGAAATGAATAGATCTCGAACTCTCGAGTATATTGGAGTCCTACAATTGGTTGATTTAATAAAAAAAATTGATCTGTCAAGTTTTGTGTCTCATAAATTATACATATTTGAAGGAACAATTATTTAAATCTAATTTTTCATCTTTTCAAAATTATTATTTGTGGGATAATATAATTTATAACTAACTATGTATAATGCGAGTTCATAAATTATAAATGCATGCTGTACATAAATCTTTCTTAAGTTCTAGCGTAGATAGGGTACTACGTACCTATTGTATTGTATGTACATACATGAAGATTAATGAATCTTTTACCCAAGGATTTGAAATATATTTGTAATTATGTTGAGGAACTGGTAAAAAACTGGTGCCGTTTCTAAATCAGCTTGTTGTGTACTATATTTAGTTCACTGTACCAAAATGACTAACACCATAAATGTTTGTACATCTTTATAGTGACTATAACTAATTGATCCTCGTAACTTCGTCTGTGTCATTTTTTCCCCGTTTATGCAGTCATTTTGATTGGAGCTGGATTTCTATTAGTTGAAGGGTGATGTCATATAGCCTTTCTCGATAAATGAACTATCCAACAATAAAATAATTTAATATCCAATAATATGTATAAGTACAAACTCGCAAACTTTATCTCTTCATATTAATATGGATAGGCTTTACTCATTAAAAAAATCATAATGAAAGAGAGATTCCATATCCTATTATTACATTTCCTATGGACCATTACCTTATTTCTTTAAGGTAACCTACAGTGCAAGGGACGCCAAAAACTAAGTGTGAACGTCATAATGTTTGACGCATTACGTTTTAGTTTGACGTTCATTGTTGTTAGAATAAATCAGGGTTGTCAACTGCACATATCAATAATTTAAGGTCACCATCACCGGTGTAAGGTAAGGTTGCCACCTTCAATCACGTGTGTACAGTAGACAAAAAAAATGTGAATATACAGTTTACATTTTTCCGCGTACGCATGTGTGACATACGCTAAACTATGTCGACTACA